AACGTCACGTGTGCATTCAAAAACATGGCCGATATCGTATTGACCGTTTACATGTGACTGAAATCATTCGTTTACGGCGAAACTACTTGCATTTCATAACAATTCAACGGATTTATTTTTCGTGCGTTATTGTAATAATCACTAATGAATAATAATTGCCAATTTAAACACTTCGAAAACAAGTAAGTTATTCACTTGTGAACCACAGCATGGCCGGATTGCGCTACCGTTCTGTTATCATTTGCTACTAAGCAGTGCATTCGTGTTTGTTTTTACTTGAAACTTCTGTTAGAATATACTTTTCGTTAACAAGAAAATTAAAAAAAAAATTATTACATTAAATATAGTGAGTATTTTTTTATCATGTGTACAGTTTTTTTGATTGACTGTACTGTAACATTTTGTAACGCCTATTTTAGAACCAAAGTAAAGCCTCTCACTCTTCCCTGACACCTATTCAAGAGATTGTACGGTGTATTGTTTGTTTTGTGCAAGTGTTGTGGGCAAAAAATGACTACACCCATTTAGCGATTGCAATATGTACGTAATAGAAACCGCACCCCGAACTTGAGCTTTTGATCTCAATTTTTAAATTGATACATTGTAATATAAACCGCGGTTTATATTAGGACTTTAACGGTAATTATCATGCAAATTAAGTAATTATTAAACATGGATTTCAACCAAAACCTAATTTAAATCTGAGCATTAGCCCAGAGCATCTATGCACCAAGTTTCATTAAAAACCACTATATGATTCTTGAGATGTTAGTGGAACGGACAGCGACACACACACACACACACACACACACACACACACACACACACACACACACATAGACAGGCTAACTGCACACAGGAGTCAAAAATGAAGCTCGTGTCAGATGATACACTAATGGAATGTCTGGCATCCTGTTCCAAAGTTTGGGTTATAAAACCAAACCCAGTGTTTTGGTCAGGGTTGAGATTGATCAAAAATTAAATGTTACTGGTGACGCCGTTGCCAGATAAAACATGATCATGATCAACTCTGATAGAATATGGCATTGCAATATGGCACTCACATCCAAAGTGTAACATCAAAATTATTTCAGTTGCACCAAAACAAATAGCCCAGGCATGTACAAATGCAAATTGTACAACTGCAATATAAGACTACTCACGTTTATTTGGGTTCATAGGGAATATATTATCTGCACCCACATTATAGACTATGGCAGCTTTAAACCCACTCTTCTGAGCATTCAACACCTGTAAAAACAAATAGTGGTAAGAGTACATGTAAGTATGTACAAGCAGTAAAAACAATTCCTACAAATCTTATCCCATAGTTTTGTACAATGCAATAGAATATTGTTAACTGTTGACTAGCACTTCAGTAACAACAAATTAAGTTTCTAGTATTGGATTTGATCTCTCGATCTTCCACTTGCAAAGCAAAGGTCACTACACTATGAAGTTTCCCAATAGACACAATATACCCCGGTACACTTTGAAAAATAGCTTTCAATAATCACCAAAAATACAATTTTTGTAAGATCGTTTCAAGCCAACTATATATTAACCATACAAGTACAATGTAAGTTTTATAGCGATCGAGTTATTGTGCCCACAAGAAAAGTTTGCAATGACAACATCGCCAACAAGGAAACATGACAGACATTTTGCCAATACTATGACTTTGCTTTCATTTTATTAGGGCAAAGAAAAAACACATTTATTTTTGAAATAAATTAGAAGCTGTTATAAAAACATGTGCTGGTAACCAAGGTCTGTGCACGGGTGAAAGTTAACAGCAAAACTGGATTCTTCCTCTTGCTTTTGACCATAAATATAGATTTCATCACAATGGCATTCCAAAGCTGACAACATGCCAGTGCCAAATTAAACTTCTGAAAGAATTTTACAAAAGCAAAAGTTTCATAGGGATTTTCTGGAGTTCTCTGGATCTAAATATTACTGACATATTTTCATCAACTTTACGGTATGTAGACTTCTAACTTTAGTTTATGACTCATTTAATTGGTATGACATCATAAATTCAGTCTTACTATAACAGGATTTTAATTGACATACCTTTATATCAAAGTCACACTGTGAGCGTCTTATGAGAGCAAAATATGTACTCATGTTGTCTGGTGGAGGTGCAATTGGTGAACAAGAATCAATGGGATCAGCTACCACGAGTAGCCCCTGTAACATACAATAATATCAACATTTTACACTTTCTATGGATAACATTACATTTCTAAAACAGCTGACTAGCAGTCTGTTGATTGACATTATTAACAGTAAATGATGAGTTCATCAAATAATTTCCAGATCTCATGCTTAGCCAACTGTACAAAGTACATGTATAAGTATAACTAATACTTTGATTTTAATATTTGATTACAACAACAACTAGTAGCTTCACAGTGAGTGGCTTTCGCAATAAGTGGGTTTCGTATCTAGTGGGTTTCGCCTGGAGTAGGGCTTTGTCTCAGTAACTGGCCCTTTCATCCTTGTTGAGAATTATGTTTTATGTTTCTTTAACAACTGGCACTATTCTGGGAATACCATCCTAGCAGGAGTTCCAAAATAAGACCCATGCTTTGATAATGCCTCTATAGTTTCAAAGACCAATAAACATTACCATTATGATCTTATTGGTGTTGCAAAGGATAGTTGAATATTGTTTATTGAAATTAACAAGACATGAAATGTCACAGTCCCCGTTATTTGATTATAAAGTAGTACAAGGAACATCTGCAAACAGGTGAATAAATATGTACTCTTTGTGGTTACAACTCATCATAAAGTGATTTCCCATAATCTAGTTTTGTACTGACAACTACAAACTTTCACTGACCCATGTTCAGAATCTCAGAGTACACAAGTGCAACAAAACTATTTGTCATACATGTATACTTGCTCAAGAAACTGCATTCATAAATCTGAGTGAACCTTGACTTCTTGTTTCAACATCACCACTGGGCATCTGAATCATTCTTATGTTGTCAAATACAATTTGTTATTAACACAGTAAGGTTTATTATTTAAAATGTATTCATTCACATAGAACAACATCTGTTAATTTAAACAATTGTAAAAGCTATGTTTTCAGATCAAGTAAAGGATGGTCAGCTCATAACCTTCAATGGAGAAGTAGCAATAATTGTTTCAATAAAGTCCCTGACACTCCATGTTGTAGGAACCCAGAAAAAATTGCCTTGCGAAATTGAAGCAGTTCACAGCACCGCTGTAAAAAAAAAATAGTTTAAAATGAGTATAGTCAAAGATATACACATGCGGGTTCATAAGACATATGTACCAATCTGAGTGGTTCTAGAGATTAGTATCACAAGATTTTACTCTCTGTGATTCAATATCAGCCCTATGTATAACGCTGTGTTGATCAGGCGAACTACATGTATTTGACAATGGCCCTACAGGTATCGCTATGCAATCACAGTATTTTGTATTCTTCTAGCATTTCGACCATGGAAAAATATTTGTTTTTGAAAGTGGTCGAATTATTAGAAGAAAAACAGAAGCTATTTTTTTTAGTATAAATTCTAGTAACTGAAATGCAGGATTGAAAAAGAACAAGACAATACGCAAGATTGATAAACTTTCAGCGAGCACTCGTGAAATTTCAGATCATTGGTACCATGTTTTTGGATACATTCAATGACCTGATACATAAAACCACTATTTTTATTGCTCAATCACTTTACCCTGTATGGCACAAGATCGCAAGCTTCTATCATAAAATTGGATTATTTATTTGATGCAACGAAACATGCATTCACAGTTTTCCATTTCAACCACCATCATCACTTAGTAAGCTGTGATCACGCATTGGGATACTGACTGTGCACAAATGTGCAGTGTAGTGCCATCAGAAGACCGATTGTTTGAGAATATTTTGCACCATTACGCCATTTCAAATATTATATTAATTCACAGACAACAAAATAAAGATTTTCAATAACATACAAATTTTTCCAAAGTTGATGATTGTATGGCAATTACATGGCTTTGCCAGTTTTACTTTGGAAGAAGTTGGAAACAGATAACAGGAAGGGGCTACATGGCTACATCTTTTTTTTTTTGAATTTTAATCAAGCATGATTTTTTAATTTTTTTTTTACAACAGAAACAAAAACAATAAATGTGTAGGTAGGCATTTTAACAATTGCACAATTAATATTCGATGAAAACGTCATTACTGATATAAATCATAATTCTGTTCAAACAATGAAATACATAATAACATGTACTTACATGTATAAATTTGAATAAGGTTCAACAGCCTTTTCATTTAGTGCCAGTTTATACACCATAAAACCTCTGGTTTAGGTGTCACACTCAGAGAAGAGTGAAAGGCCTTTGGTTCATAGGCATCGCGAAATGTTGGAATTGAATACCCCCAAAAAATTCACATACTGTAACATGCACTATTTTTTATATAATCTTGTTGATAACGAAAAGTAAAGTATGTTCTAAAAGAAGTTTCGAATAAATACAAACACGAATACATTGCTTAGTGGTTAGTACCGGTAGCAAATGATCACGGTAGCACAATCTGGTCATTCTGTGTTTTGCAAGTGAATAACTTATTTGTTTTCGAAGTATTGCAATTGTTGATTATTATTCAGTAATGATTATAATAACGCACAAAAATTTAATTCCTTGAATTTTTATGAATTGGAAATAATATTCAACTTAGTTTCATCGTAAACAAATGATTTCGGTCGAATGTAAATGGTCGATGCGATACGATATCCGCAATGTTTCCATTTACACGTGGCTCATTTAAATATGTTAATGACGGTTCAGTGACCTTGTGGTAAACGCAATGCGGTAGTAGATTTACCGATGTTCTGGCAAGATCTTTATGCTTTGATTTTGACGGGGAAAACGGCATGATATTTTCTTTTAATCAAAAAATTAGTTGTTTTCAAAAAATAAACATTCAAAGAATAATTTAACATTATTCACAGAAATAACAGCTCATTGTGGAAACGAAGCTTACCCATTCAGGCTATTCACAATAAACATGATACTCCTGGATACATGTAGGTGTCAATGACTAATGTAAAATATAAATTAGACTCTTTTAGGCATCAGGAGTGAATGAAATATCAAAAATATTAAAAAAAACTTAAAAAAATGCCAAAAAAAACGCCAAGCGATTTCATGGTCCGTTGCAGACTACTCAACAGACCGTTCATACACGTGTTGTCACTGTACATCGGCCATGTTGAACCACATGAGATCGGCAAAATATTCAAATACAACAGTTTAATGCTCACAACATAAAAAATAAGAATATAATCATAGGCAACCTACTATTATATATTGAATAAGTTGATCGACACAGGGACATTTTCACCCCACCCCCCAAACCCACCCACCCCCCCCGAGTGGTGGATATTTCGGAAATCGCGACACAAGCAAAAGACCATATAACGGTTTACTTGAAAACTATGTCCCCATGAATTAATCCTTCGTGTACAATAATTTGACAGGGTATACAACTTACAAACTAGTTTCGTAGCTGGCAACCATTATAATATTCACATCCGCGTTTCACGGAATGTACACCAATCGTACCCCAATATACATTCAATTTTGCTGAAACCGGAGAACTTACCTTTGCAAACACGTCTCTTATGTCGCCTTCTTGAAGTTCTTGAAATCAAATAAGGTTACTAGTTCTTCTAGTAACGAGTGAATGAGACCACTGAGCGGAACAGAATACATGTATAAACAGTACTATAATAAATTGCAGGCAATGGAGAAATCACGTGCCGTAATAACAGCAGCCTTACTCACAGATCTAATCTACTGTAAAATATTTTATTTCAGCTGGATTATCATTCGCTGAAAAGACTTTTTCTGACTGTTTTGTATTTTCATTGATTTTTGACAAGTTGACTGTAAAATATAAAAAAAAGGGTATATTCACTGGATTTTATTTTAACTGAAACATTCCTTCAGCGAAAAAAGCAATAAAATGTTGCAAGTGAAAATAAAGTATTTTACAGTAATTAATTTATTCTGAGCATGCGCAGACGTTCTGTCAATGTTGCCGGGAGAGGCAATTTTTGATGAAAATCGTGAAAAAGACCCACTTGGGATTTTCAGATCTGGAAAAAAAATTATGTGCATACTCAGAAGACACTTGTTCAACCTGCCAAGTTTAACTGATACCTGCTGTAGAATTTCTGAGAAAATGTTGGAGACAGAAAATGGAATGTGGAATATGGAAAACGGACATTTGACAAAACCTGAATTATAAAGTCTCCTTTTCAGGCTGCGCCTGAACGGGGACTAATAATTCCCATGATCGTTTTCCAATATAGATAAATTGTAGTACGTAACAAACTGCATAACTCAGTCTCATCAATGAAATAAAGGAATGTATATATATATATTTACATTATTACTAATGCATTGCAATACAACTAATTCAAATTGAAAGAAATTGCAACATAAAATATTTCATCAGTAATACTTCTCAAAGGCGTATTTCACGGTCAGTGTTATTTACAAAATATTCGTTTATAGGTTTATAAACTTGCTTGGCATATGTGTACATATTTCATTATTATTTATTAAAATATTAATTATTTCATATTTTTATATAACCTGTACAAAAGATATCAATATTTTTCCTTGCTAGAATGATGTGTAACTTCATACGGAAATCCTGATGAAGTTCACAACTGGCGATTTAGCAATATATGGATTGTCAAATTCCTGTGAATTTTAGGTTTATGCGCTGCAAATTACAGAACACATACCTACATGTAAGCGGCTGTCCCCCAGCAAATAATTAAGCCAAGGTGGTTTCGATATTGAAATCAGGAAACTCTCTATTTTTACACAATCTGAGAAGTTTGAATTACTAAATGAAGTACAGGACGATGAAGCTGAAATATCCAAGAACCAACACATACCAAAAATCTCAAAAGTGAATATTCCAGTGTAACCGGACCGGAAGTGCATAAAAGTAATCAATATTTTTCCTTGCTAGAATGATGTGTAACTTCATACGGGAATCCTGATAAAGTTCACAACTGGCGATTTAGCAATATTAGGGATTGTAAACGGTTGCGGTTTTTAATAAGAAGTCGAAAATATCACTTTTTACCAAAAATTACAAAAATATTCACTAAAATTAGAGAATTAAAGATATCATCACAAAATGAACAAATCTGAGAGATGTCCACATGTAGTACCTATATATGTAATGTCAAAGCAATTACACTTGCGGTTTTCAACAAGAAGTCAAAAATATCACTTTTTACCAAAAATTACATAAATATTCATCAAAATTAGAGAATTGAAGATACCATCATGAAATGAACAAATCTAAGAGAGGTCTACCCCAGGTACATATACACCAAGTATCAAAGAAATCAGGCTTGTAGTTTTCAAGAAGACGTCGAAAAAGTAAAACATTGACATGGACGTCGCCGGACGCCGATGGACGACGGACGCAGACGGACAATAACTCATATGATAAGCTCCACTCGACAAAGTCGACAGCGGATCTAAAAATATTTCTGCAGACAAAATTAGGTGGCCTAATTGATAGAGGAGTCGAGTTGTTAGAAGGATTACGATATACAATATCAAAGACTTAGAAATTGGACAAGAAGTCGAAAATATAATTTTTTACCAAAAATGCCAAAATTATTCATCATAATTAGCGAATTGAAGATATTGTCACAAAATCAACAAATCTGACAGAGGTCCACCTGATACACCTACATATACAATATCAAAGCAATTGGACAAGCAGTTTTCAAGGATAAGTCGAAAATATAATTTTACCAAAGAGGTAAGCGGTAAATTACCAGTCAGGCACAGTGACCTGATAACTTAACTAGGTCATTGACTCTTATAGTAGCTCCAAATCTTTCTAGGTCAGGCTTTAAATATATGTAGGTGTGCCTTTGAAACTGATTTATATCTAAATTTAAAGCTACTTTAATTTAAAGGTAATTTAATCTCATTAATACATTTTAAACAAAAATGTTGTTCTGATATTTGAGTAGCACAATGTAAAAACAACGCAATCAACAGTACTGAAGTTTATAATACCACTAGAAATGTCTTATAAAAACAAAAAAATTAATTTGGTTTGGAGTCTGATTTAATGCAATATATCCAACATAAATCCGATTATTTGAGATTAGGAATCAATATGCTCTGGATGCAAAAGTGTTCTTCATGAATTGGCAGACAGAATGCACTACATTAATCTTCATCAACATGCTAAGTTTCATAGATATCTAAAAAACTTCTGGGAAACACAGACAAAGAACGGGGTCCTAGTTTCAACCAGAAACGACAACTAAAAGTTGTGACAGTTGAGTACAATATTTAGTGACTCACCGATAACCCTGATGGTGGCAGAGCAAACCCAAAGTTAGATGGCATATCTGCATAAACTTTGGTCTTATTTAAAGGTGATATCTGAAAAACAAGAAAAAACAAGTAATTGTATAACATGACCTACATGTTTTATTTTATTTGCAACGAAAGTATGCTCTAACAAGCAGCCTGTCGGCTGAGATAGCTCCGCTGTTAGCAATGCACATTGCAATTAAAGAACAGAAGATATCATTAGAAAATGAACAATATGTACAGTATCAAAGCAATGACTCTTGCTGTTTTTAACAGGAATTCAAAAATATCACTTTTCACCAAAAATAATCATCAAAATTAGATAATTAAAGATATCACCACGAAATTAACAAATCTGTAAGAGGCCCACATGTAGTACCTATATATGTAATATTAAAGCAATCAGACTTGCGGTTTTTAACAAAAACTTGAAAATATCACTTTTTACCAAAAATGACAAAAATATTCACCAAAATTAGAGATTTAAAGATATCATTACAAAATGAACAAACTGAGAGAGGTCCACATGTAGTACCTATATATGTAATATCAAAGCAATTGGACTTGCGTTTTTTTACAAGAAGTCGAAAATATCACTTTTACCAAAAATGACAAAAATATTCACCAAACATTCAAGATTTTGACAAATCTGAGAAAGAACCATCCAAGGTACTTGCATACCAAATTTGACAACATTCTGACTTGTGGTTTCGAAGAAGAAGTTGAAATTGTAAAGTTGACGACGACGACAATCAGTAATATGAACAGCTCCGCTGAGAATTGAAGATATCATCATGAAATGAAGAAACCTAAGAGAAATCTACCCAAGGTACATATACACCAAGTATCAAAACATTCAGGCTTGTAGTTTTCAAGTAGAAGTCGAAAAAGTAAAACATTGACACGAACGACGACGACCAACAACAACGGACAATCACTCGTAAGATAAGCTCCGCTCGACAAAGTCGACAGCGGAGCTAAAAACATTTCAAATAAAAATGAACCCAACTGCATTGCTTAGTAGCAAATGATCGCGGTAGCGCAATCTGGTCATGCTGGGTTTCACAATTGTTGATTATTAACTAGTAATGATTATAATAACGTGCAAAAATAAATTTGTTGAATTTTTATGAAATGCATATAAATTTCAACTTATTTCATTGTAAGCGAATGATTTCGATCACATTTTCAGCGCTCTATGCTGTAGAAATGAATATCGGCCATGTTTTGACCTGGGATGGTGTTCTTTGACCTGACAGGTAAAATCGATAATTAACCAATGAAAAATTAGTTTTTTCAAAAGATAAACTAAGCATTTGAAGAATAATTTAACATTGTTTACAGCGATAATAGCTCATTGTCGAAACGAAGCTTACCCATTCACGCTAGTCGCAATAAACATCAATACTCTTGAATAGGCGTCAATGACTACGTCACAACTTTTTAGGCATCAGAAAAGATTAAAATAACACCTTAAAAAACTACGGAAAAACCCAAACTGCCGTTTAACGGCCCTGGGTGAAAATACGGCAGAATCCGATAGTTCAAAAAATTTCAAAAAAATTCAAAACTCACTAACACTTTTCCGGTCAGGGGAGTTTCAGGCTATCAGGTTAAGTCGGTGAAAAACGGTCATGATTCAATGCACTCCAGTAGCCAGCATCTGTGCATGCTATCCTGCCAGACATTTTTGCAAAAATAGGCCATAGTTAACAGACTGTATCGACCTCAGTTTTCACATTTTTTTGCAATCTGTTCAGATACACACTTCATTACCACCATGGACAACAATTTCTCGTATAAAAAAATCACCGTTTTATTTCAATACGCATTTTTTACTGTCATTAAGTAACGATGGTTTGCCCTTTGTACAGTCTCAATAAACACGTGTTAAACATTGAAATAAATATTGCTTAATTGAAAACACATTACAAGCAAGTACATGAATGCAAGTTCAAAGTAAGAAGAAAAAAAATGTATGGGGATATTTGGGACATGTATGGAGGGAAAACCTGTTTGACATACTCGACCTGTCAGCGTACATTTCAAATTGCAATGTATATTCAATGACTTGAACTACAATGTACTTTCCATGACTTGACTGATGTTATATTCAAGCTCTAAAGTATATTAACCAACTTGATTGTACGAGTAAACCCACAATTACAAAGTATATTTAACGACTCAAACTGAAACTAAAACGAACGAGAATGTAACTGCAGCGACTTGATCAGGGTTACCTTCACACGGCAACGTATATTCACCGACATGACCCGATTAACTAACTGAATATTTCAACGTACATTTAATGACTCGAAATAAAACGACTAGCGAGAACATAACTGCATGGACTTGCCGTGTATATATACTCGTGCAGAAATGTATATCCACCGACTAGACCCGATAAACTATCCCAACATTAAAACATATAAATACCAAGTGAGCATGAAACTAAATTAACGATAACATATTTTCACCAACTCAAACTATTGTACAATCCGTGACGCTGTAATAAGTCCTAAATTTATTTGTTGTACGCCTTTTTTAGTCGACCACCCCGGCGGGCTGCTCCCATGCGTTTGCCTGATGTCGAGGGTTGCTCTTTCGTACTTCGTGTTTGTGTTCCTACGGTGCATTTTCCCTTCAGTGCCATGTTGTGATGAAAAGCAGCGAAACATTCGCCCACATGAAGGTGAACTTTACTCACTGTTTTTCTTCCGTCCTTGCTACACTGCTTACACGATTTTTGTCGCCCGGGTAGTCTGCATATTTCGTGCAAATCCATGTTTTCACTATGAATAAATGACGTGTTACTTGGAAGAGAGCCAACTTCTCTTATGGACTTTTGAATTCCACCAATCAGTTGTTTTCCGGTATGTGGTCTTCTTGATTGTCCCAGTTTCTTTCCTTCTTCCCTCATTTGTAGTTTTATATAAGTTTGCAATGTAAGACGTTGTCGAGTCGCACACCGGCCATATTTTGAGGCCATCACGGTCGGGTTTGTGGGACAATCTCTGCTTAAACTTGGACCGTCCCTTGAATCTAACCATACCCTCATCAATCAGTTCGGCCTCTGATCATTGACGACGACGTTCAATGTCAGAATCCCGCCGTGGGTCATTTACTGGATAAGCTAAATGAAAATAACGCATTAGCATTTGAAATCTGGCCCGAGTCATTACTGATGCAATTCCCATATTCTGCAGAAAGGGGTCACTCGACCAATAATTGTTGATAGCTGATTTGTGATCAACACCCATACATATCATCACACCAAAGAATGCTTGCATTTCACTGAAATTTGTATTACGCCAGCGGGCATTTAATTTTTTGGCAATGTATTTTTAATGATATTTGGCGTATTTACATGTATTAGTCTCGGTGGAAGCCAGTTCTATCAGTTCTGGTGGGATAAATTTGTAGAAATATTCCACCTCACGAGCATATGAAGGCAGTTCGAAAGTTGGTCCAGGTTTGTGTTCAAAAACTGGAAGAGTAAACATATCGCCGTCTTCCTCCATGGCCATTCTCCATTCACCAGTGACAGAGGCAACATAATGGAATGTAGCACCAATTTCTGTGTCAGATTCAATTTCAATGTCGCTATCGAGTACAGATGGGTAACGTTGCTCTAAAAAATCACCATTCTCAGCACAATCTTTATCGATTTCTGAATCTGTATCATCGTCATTTGCAACTATGAAGTCATCTGGTATTTTGTGTCATAGTTCACCCATTTTTTCGTCCAATACAAGTTCATCATCACGTGTGTCCATTGGCGATGCATGTGCATACACAACACGTTTTTTAATAGTTTGTTTTTCGGGGAAAATTGCAACTGTTGATTGTTCTGTATCGCATACATTTTCTTGTACCATTTCTTTGGCGACATCGACGTTTTGTTGCGTACTCCCCAGGTCGATATTTTGCTTCATAGGCAACTGGCAATTCAACCACTTTACGGTTCGTCTTTGATTGACATTTGCCTCCTGGTTTGCCCCCTAGTTTGCCCTCGCAGTCCTTAGAACGGCTTTCTTCTGTAATCGAACGTTCGTTGTCAGAGAAGTCAGCCTCCGACGTGCGTTTGTTCTTTTTCTTTTTACGCCTTTTCTTGAGTGGACTATTATCACTGGTGTCCGTGGTACGTTCAGCTGGTAACTCACGACGTCAAATGTTTCCTTTGCTTTGGATTTCTTTCTTTTCCCACACTTTGCTGGTGAAAAATCTGTCGTGTCAATGTCAAACTTATCACACCCCGTGCCACTGCACGATTGACGCGTTTTCTTCAGTTTCCTTCTCGCCTTCATAAAACACTTCCTATCTGTAAAGGACGGCATATTAACGTATGTGTCAGAAAGGAGGCACACTACGAGTCTGGGCTTTATCTCTTTCTTCGTCCATATTAATACTGAACGACCAGATGTCCACAAGACTGCATCTCCCGACAATTGGAATATTTATTGTTATGTAAATAAATATGTTATTTTTTCGAACACGGATTGGTTACAATTTGCATACACATAGAATTGCATATGCTAGCTCAGACGGTGAAATCATGTGGACTTGAATATTTCCCACCAGCTGTGCCGGTCATTTTACGTTGGCGATTGCCGACATTACATTCCAAGCTCAGCCGTTGGAATCCGTCATGCTATTCATGCTAAGTGCCGGGACTATTTGCCAAGCTGGTCAAAATACGTTACTACCATTATAATAGTGAATCGCATCGTTCAAATACCATTATAAGCTGCAGTTTTCAATGTGGTCAAGGCGCTTTTTTTTTACGTCGTCGCAAACGTCGCGTTGTGATGGTAAAATAGTGAAATGAGCAGGCAAGTGTATAGAATTACATTCTTTATTACTCGGTTAGTTTATTTGACTTGGCGAAAACAAAAAACAGATTCTCTCCCTCCATAATTTCGCAAGTGTAAAATATCAGGTTCTGTATAACGTATTATAAATGCTTGACCGTCTGAACAACCTAAATAGCAGGCCGTTTTTCAAAGACTTAACCAGTTAGCTAGCTGGAGTGGTAAATTCTAGCATACCCATATTGACGGCGTTTTTTCACCGACTTGACCGGAAAAGGGTTAAATATGCAAATGAGCTCGTTTATTAAATTTAAACTCAATATTGCACAGCATATATCTTATATTGACAAATCAAGTCTCTACCAAGTTTGGTCTGAATTGGACTATTAGTTGACAAGATATTAACAAGAATTCAAATTAATAATTAAATATGCAAATGAGCTCATTAATTGATTCCTTGAAAAAATAAATCAATGTGCATCTGTACCAGTGGTCACTCTGTCTTTGTAACAAGTGTCAGCAAAATCGGTCAAGCCATCTCCAAGAAATGACGATGGACACACAAGGACTGAATTTGACTTAATTTTGGCATTAAAATGGCTGGTTATATTTGATCAAATCAGAAAATAAATTGACATGCACATATATGGTTGACCACTATGTCCTTGTATCAACCATGATGTAAAACTACAAGTGGCAGACTTACCACAATGATATCGGCATCCACACATGATACATGGAATAAAGCCACTAAATTTACCACAGCAAATATATATAATGTAGTAATAGATGATGGTATCGTACTGTAAGCTGGCATTTTGAGCCTTGTCTGTGAAAAAGAAAAAAATACAAATGAAAAAACGTGATACAATACACTGGTAGCTAATTGCTGATAAAATTATACATTGTATACTATTCTTTCCGAACTGTAGAAATGATTAACATAGACTTCCGTCACCATATTGCAGAATTTACACATGCTACGATTAAAGAGAGGCACTGGAGGGGCAGGATTAGGATTTGGGGGAAATGTCAAGGTGGTCGGGTGATCATTTCCAGGAACGGGATGTCTGTGTGAAAGGGCGTTCATTTAGTAACGCAGCCGGATATGATAGAAAGGGAATAGCGGACACTATTTGCTGCATTGTTATTCAGTTAGGAGAAACGAGACAAGTATACTAGGAGTGCAAACATTGCGAGAATTCTGTGTTAATATGTTTAAATGTTTTTTAATCATGGTAAAAGAACTAGAAATTCTTCATGTGAAGTACGTGGATGTAACGATCAAGTCGTCAGTCGGAGAGTATAGTCAAAGAGTGAATGTGACGACATTCGTAATCATGATGGTATTGTAAACAAACGAGAATGACAGTCATTAATTTGTCATTTCAGTAAATTATTGCACAGTTTAGATGAAGATGAATTAAACTTACTTTCTTTGGGTGCTAAAAGAACATCATATAATAAGAAACATTTCGAATAAACCTTGAAAATGTTTGTTTTGGTTGTAATTTCAGGAACAAAATAAATGGAAACTGAGTAGTCTCGCTTTGGTCTCGTATGTGAAAAGATTTCTCATAATAACCATAGATGGCGTAAAATGAGATGCCAAAATATTGAAATATTCCGAGTAAATACCTCAATTGCGAAATGACGGTGTAAGCGAATTACAAGATCGTCAGCATACATTATGCAGTCAATAGGTGTGTTTTGTAGTTTGGGTGGGTCACATCTAGGTTTATTAAGGACATCAGGTAAATCGTTTATGAAGATGTTGAATAGGGTTGGGCTTAAGTTACAGCCCTGTTTTACTCCCACCCTTGAAGTGAAGTGTTCAGTTAATCCTTCTTTGCTCTTAACTTTATATTTTACCTTACTATACATATTTTTTATAATTTTATAGATTTTACCCGATATTCCAAGTTTTAACAATTTAATATACAACCCAGACACTGTCGAAGGCCTTTTTTAGGTCAACAAAGCACGCATATATTTTATTTGTATTTCAGCGTTTTCTGACTTTATTCAAACAAGGACCAATGAGATGATGAGGTGTGGACATAGTTGTGGACGAAGGATCAACACAAAACATTGTAATTTTGATTCAAATGAGTCGTACAGCTAAGTGACAAGTAAATTGACCAGATCCAAAAATTGGCGACTAGACTTGATATTGCCAGTTGATAGCCGGATAGCTCCAAACTCCTTTTCCAAAAAACAATTTTCGATAATTATTACTGGTTTATTTATTATACGAAATTTATGGTAATGAATAAATCGGAAACTCTTCGTTGTGGTAAGGATTAATGCTGATGTGTCATATTGTAAAGTCTATCACAGGCGTTTGATCTCTGAGCCGTTACCACCAGTCCCCGATTACCGGTATCACACGTACTTAAGTTGAGCATAGAAAATACGGTATACAGCACAATCGCTGACATACGAGTGTACACGGTTTCTAGTATCAACCCTATTGTCAAA